CCACCTTGGCTATGGTGGAGCTCTACCGGTAGGAGGAGGATGGAGAAGGGGACCAAGGAGGAGAGTGGCGAGGTACTTACCGGCTATGGTAGACACCATCTTCATCTCCTTGCTAGGCGCTGCATCAGGAAGGCCCCAGTGGGGGTAGTGCCGCATGAAGGAAGCTCGGACAGAGTCAGGCATGGCGGTTGAGTGGGCAGCGGCATAGCTGCTGGGTGATGACCTTGGAGTAGGGCAGCGGTGTAGCTGCTTTGGGTTGTTTCTTGCACAGGAGGCTGAAGCCTCTGTAGTCCGCCATAGCCTCGGCCTGTATGTGGAGGAAGAAGAAGGGCTGCCATGGCTATGGTGGACCTCATCTTGTGCCTGCAGTAGAAGTGGGATTCGGACATTGATTCTGGTTCAGCTGTTCAACATTATTATTGTTTATTTATTGTTTGAATAAGAGAGGAGGAGATAAAGAGGAGGAGGTTGTTGAGCGAAGAAGAAGAGCTTTGTCTTGGTCTATGCTGGAGTACATCATCTCTTTCTTCTTTCTTAATTCTTCTTCTTCTTCCTTCCCTCTCTTTCCTCTCAAGTTCTTTCATTTCTTTTGCAATTGGACGGCATTGGGCTCAAGTTCATTCATTTCTTTTCGCAATTCGACAACATTGTACTTTCTGATGATTGTGGACTTCGAAATTGGCCAGGATCGTAACAAAAAAAACAAAAAAAAAAAAGGGAACAGGCAGCTCGTCATCATCCATTCCCCTCTGCATGTTGAAGTGAGCGCCACTAGGATGTATGCTGAGGTTTGGGTACTGTAGACAATGCATGCATAATCCTACTCGTATTGCGGTTATGATTCACACACTACACTACCTTGCTGCGGTCCATCCTGTCACAGGCCCATACATGTGGCTGTCACTCAACGCAAACAGCTCACAAGTCAAACAATTTGTGGTTTATTCGCCAAGAAGACTTGAGCTCGAAATCACAGTGAATACCCTCGTTCCTCCTTCTAGCACGCTCCCCACAGACTCACGTAAACACTACATGGTTCACTGCAATACCCAATGATCAACAACCGTTAACTGCCTCAAGGAAATAACGTCAAACTCCCCAGGCTAGCAGACAATGTCTTTAATGAGTACATCACAAACCCCCTTAAAGTTTGTTAATATAGAGTGAATCTTGAACGTTAACAACCTGCCCCATCAGTTCCTTTTCTCTTTAAATCCCCATTTTCCTTAAGCTCCATACCCACATGGTGAAGACGTCAAACATCGGCCCAGACATGGTCCCATCATGACTCCCATAACTCTTACGTACCTCGATCATGCTTTGTTTATGACGATTGCAGGTTGATTTTTATTTTATTTTCCTTGTTTTTTGTTGTTAAAAAGACAGCTTCAAACAGAGACGTGGAGGCCCGGGCACCCGGTCACAGAGCCTATGACCAGTTGGCCGTGCCCGGGCGACCGGGTTGCGGCATGTTGCAGTTTCTGTTTTTCTTGGGCTGATTGGGGTGGGGAGGGGGGGTTGTCACAGTCCCGTGTTTTTTTTTTTGGCTGCCGGGACCAGCCAGTCAAATCACCATGACCGTTCCGGTCAGCGGTCCCGGTCCCCGCACTGTTGCAGACAACATGCCCACCTCTTTCATACGGATGGACGAGGTAATGCTCTTTGCTCAAATTGAATGGAGAAACACAGCTACCACCGGAGTAACTGTTGCACTTGAACACCCTCGGATTTCTGCCAGTGGAGCAGTTGCCAACAATCATAAGATCGATTGGGCCTCGCTCCGCTGCGCATGTGACATTCTAAATGTATCTCGAGCGAGTAATGGTCCCGGCACATTCAAGTATCTCGATCGGTTTGCATGTGTCTGGTCTGTGTGGTAGTCCAGACACATGTAGAGGCCCACACTTTGTGATGACCGTACCAGTGTACAGAGGGCAACACAAGGCCTGGGAGAGGTTGCACGATAAAAAATAGGGAAACCTAAATTCGAGCCCAAAGCTATAAAAACACTCTGAAATTCTGAATAAAAATTAAAGTACTTGGGCCAAGAATACCTCTCTCACCACCGCCCTGCGAAGGAGGACAACATATAAACCTCGCAGACACAAAGTTTACCAAATCGCAAAAAGGTACTCAGACTGCAATACATGAGAGCTTCAACATTCGTCCCCCTATCATTTGAGATGTGACTGGGAATTCTAGATGGACAGGGCCTATGGTTGACGTCCACAACGATGCATCCTGCAACCCGTAATGTGCAAATGCAGAATGAGGTGAATGCCCAGGGTTTTATCTGCAGTCAGTGCGGTGAACGTTTCCTGTGACAGTGTTCTTACCTTAAGGGTTTTAACAATGAAGGTGGAAGGTAGAGAATTTCGAGAGACCAACAAAATTGTGTTTTCAATTGAAAAAAACAAACATCCTTTGCATGCTGAACCAGGTGACACTAACCACTCACTTAACCAGGTGTTAACCATTGTGAATTCTGGTTTCCGTGTGTCTGTCTGTCACAGACTCTCTCTCTCTCTCTCTCTCTCTCTCTCTCTCTCTCTCTCTCTCTCTCTCTCTCTCTCTCTCTCTCTCTCTCTCTNTCTCTCTCTCTCTCTCTCTCTCTCTCTCTCTCTCTCTCTCTCTCTCTCTCTCTCTCTCTCTCTCTCTCTCTCTCTCTCTTTCTCTCTCTTCCCCCCATCCTTCCCACCCCACTAAAGACAGTATAAGCAATCGGTGGAAATCATACAGCATCCAGTTCTGTAGATATAACAGCTTCCGTTGGGGCAAATTGCAGATATACCCGTTCAGAGAAGTATGGTAGCAAAAGTACCAATCTGCCCGTGTATTGTGATGAATATTCCGGCAAAGTTGCAGAAATACCGTTTTTCAAAAGTTTCTAAGCAGATTTATCATTTACCGGGCGGCTCTTTCGTTCGTGGCAAATACACTGGCGGTACCTCCTTTTGCAGCAGAGGACCTGCCTGCCTGTGAGTGCTTGCCTCAGGCCAGGAGTGTCTTTGTCGCGAACGGAGGTATCCCCCGGTAAATCTGCTTTGAAACTTTCCAAAAACGGTATTTCTGCAACTTTTCAGGTATATTTGTGGCCATACAGGGGCGGACTGGTTACCGGTATACTTTCTACGATACTTCTCCGAACAGGTATTTCGGCAATTTGCCCCTTAAAGCTATCATATAGGCTTGCGACCCCTCATCAATCCTTGGAACCAACTACTGGTTTGACATATAGAGTAATCATGTAGCAATCACAACCCACCCATTATGAACACACCAAACCCCCTCACAGAGATATTTTAGGAAGCCTACATACTTTCCAAGGGTTCAACAACTTCAACTTACCCCAGCCATCACTGCAGGCATTAGGGAGCGAGCACTGATTGTTCTGAAGGCCAGGTAACTTAAGGGATATGAACCATGATCAATATACTGCCATCGTGCACATTGACAATTAAACAGAAAGGTGGCCATACAGTAGTCCTCAGTAGCACTACAAACACGCATTAAGAGTTTCCGATGGAGCACTACCTAACAGCAAGTAGTGTCTGCAATTCCAAGAACATGAGACTGCCAATAGCAATACTAGGGTCTTAGTATGCTTTCACTCAGAAGCAGTAGCACAGCGGCCACAAGGCCCAAAACCACTGACGGCCGCTACAAAGTGCTACGGTAACCACGAGGGTAGGCAAAACTCTTTGCTCTCACAGAAGTGTTCATGGGCCAACTAACAAAAATTTAAAGAGAACTTATTTAAAGCAATATTGAGATGAATGAGATGGAAAGAGTATGAGCATTGAGCAGTAGCCCTTCGGCGAAGTTCGGCCCCTTCAGGTCGGGAGCAATCCAAGCGAGCCATCCTTTGTAATCCACCTGTTTTCCCCCCCTCCTCTCCAGTCTATTGGTGTGGAGAGTCATCTGCTGAAAACCGGGTCCAGCGTCCCAGATACAGCATGTCTCTATTGGTGCGGAGCGCTCACCTGCTGGAAACCGGGTCCAGCGTCCCATCCTCAAAACCAAGAAAAAACACACCGGGTCCAGCGTCCCACACATCCTTCAGTAATAACACAGTCTGGAAAGAGAAAATGAGATCTTTAATTACGGGACTATTTCTTACTGGGTTTCATTCTGCTCCCTTGTTTAACAGTTTACCTTGTTGAAAGATCCATCCATTGGTTGCATAGGTGAGTATTCCAGAAGAAACTAGAGAGATTGAGTGAGTGAGTGAGTGAGTGAGGGAGGGAGGGAGGGAGGGAGGAAGGGAAGGAGGCAGGGAGCTAGTGACTAGTAGTGAGTGATCCGGAACATAAGAAGTGAGCGAGTCAGAAGCAACTGAAAATATGGATATTTTAGAGATGTGAGCTGACCTGAACACATTGTATTATCACAATTCATGTCAAAACTCACAGTTCAGAAAATTAACAGAGTAGGCTCAGTACGGCGTCAATGACCTGACCAGTTTGCCTAAGTATGGTGTAAATTGAGAGAACGTGAATGCCTCCATCAAGTTTTGCCTCCCCGCCTGGTCCTATGGCGCAAACCCTTGTGGCTTGGGCTCCCCAGCTGTGTCACCAAGTTCGTCACATAGGCTCATGCTCTGCTAGTCCTGAATACAGTCAGCAAGTTCCACTGTGTGAGCAATAGCCTCCAGCGCTGGGAGAATGGCGTCTTCACCTGTAGTCATGCTCGGCCTGTGACGTCTGTTCAAACTTGCACATCTCAGCCCCACCCGTGCTGCTGCCAAGGCCAGATCGATGTCCCAGCTTCCTGCATTCGGGTCGAGCATACTTCCGAAGGTAGCGGCATCTTCCACTGCGGCTTCCATGACTCCCAATGCATTCCTAAACTTCCCACTGAGAATCTCCAGGAGGGTGATGCCCAATGCGTAAATGTCACTCTGCTGAGTGAAGACCTCAGTCTGAATCAATTCTGGGGCCATGTACTTTACATCGCTCGCTGGGCACTGAGCCAGGTTAGGTGTTTCACCATCCGCAGCAAGTGTTGGGGCCAGCAGGGCAGTATCTACTGCTGTGATTTTGGCAACAAAGTTACGCTAAGATGTTTTCAGGCTTGACGGCCCGGTGGACTATGGGACCACCACCCCTCTGAGACTGCTGGGAATGAAGGAAGGACAGGCCTTGGGCAACCTGAGCCATAATCCGCAAACGGATGTACCATGGGAGGAAACCCTTTTGTGACCCTCTTGAGAACGACATCCAGTCTTTCACGTTTCCATTGGTCATATGCTCGTACACGAGACAATTTCCTTCGTAGCACACTCCGAGCAACATATGCAGGTGGGGGTGTCGAAGAGACTTCAGTAAGCTCACAAGCTCCCTCGTCACTTGGACTGGCTGATTCTCTGCCCTGAGGTTAATAAACTTGAGTCTCTTTATCACAGCAGATGTGAGCTTGCCGATGTAAACGCATCCATCGCGTTGCTCTTCGAGCTTGCAGTCATCATGGAAGTCATTCGTGGCGATCCTCATCTCATCCAGGGAAAACTCTGTGAATGCCATTGGATGCATGTCGAGTTTCGGAACCCCCTCAGGCATTCCGACAGCCCTTTCCGATCTCTCCCTTGCACCTCCTACCATCTCCAACTCGCACTCCAATTCCTGAACCCTAATGTTCGATTTCTTCAACCTCTCTTTCAGAGCGTCTCTTTCAATCACCAGATTCCTTTTTTCCTTTTCAACCTGCTTCGCACTTTCTGAGTGCATTCCTTTTAACCTTTCATGCTCCAATTGGGATCTCTCAAACCTCTCTCCTAACGTCTCCCTCTCCACCCTTACATGGCTAAGCTGAGTCTCAAGCTCCTTTATCTTGTGTTCATGTATTTGCCTCTCACTCTCAAATCCCTCTTCGAGGGCCTTTTTCTCCCCCCTCACAGTGCTCAGCTCCATCTCCAATTGCTTAATCCTTTGCACGTCTATTTTCTCAAACTGGAGTCTTTCGTCACCTTCTGCACTCACATGTCCCACCTCCATTTTCCCTCTCTCCTCAAAGTCGGGCTCAGGGGAAACACCTTCTACGGTAATGAAACACATGTCTTGCTCACATGGAAGCACGAGCAAGCTGTCGGTCCTACAGAGAACGCTTTGTGATAATCCCTCAAGGCCGCTACAAAGTGTTTTTATTAGCTGATAATTCGAATCATTCCAGGCCATGATGGTTCCGTCCTCGGATGCGCTCAAAATGCATGGCAAATGTGGATGGAAGAAAGCGTGCACAACCGCCTGTTTATGTGCATCCAGAGTGGTCATGCATTCATTCCTCTGATAATCCCAAACCTGTAGCTTTCCAGATTGATGGCCGGTGATGATAAGTGACTTTTGGGGTTTTGTGCAGAATCGCACAGAAGTAACCTCTCCTGTTGCTTCCAATGTTTGGAGAGTGACGGTCTTGTGGGTCTTAGTATCAGCACTCCACACGTTGATTGTCCAGTTCTCATGCACGGTCGCAAAAATGTGTGATTCAAAAGGGTGGAAGCACATCATGGTCACTATCTTTTCAGTGCAGCACATGCTAAAATTATAACCTGTGGTAAAATCACAAAATAGAATCAAAATACTATTCTCGTTCTCACTGTGCAATACAGATTGGGCAGACGAATGTACAGTCCATTTGCTCAAATCCGTGTAAGTTACCGACCAAGTTCTGACTCGTTTTATTTCCTTCATCTGGAAAGCGGAATATGGCAAGATCTCATAAATAGACATATTCTTGTCAGTGCGGACCACAACTTTATCTGTCTCGCCGAGGAACTTCGCTCCGTAGGTGTTGATGGCATCCTCGAGGGTGACCGCAACCTGATGTCCATCTTCGTAATTCCACACTCGGAGGGTTGGAGGTTTTCCAGCAGAGACAGAAGCAATCCATGGCTTGGAAGGGTGCACATCAAACAGTTCTTCCCCCACCAAGTTATCTCGCTCCTGAAACTTCAGTCTCAGGTAGAGTCCCTTTCGCGTTTCCTGGCCTCCCACGGTGGAGGCACTCGATAGTCGACGCCTTAACGGCCACATAACTGAAAAGAATGAGACCGGGGGTGCCGGAAATGGCAAGGAGGGCAATCAAATAGCAAGAGTACTGGATGAAGGGAAACGGTACTAGGGGGGGGGGGAGGAAGGGGGGCAGAAGGGAACGCAATGATGGACGGGAGGGCAACGAGACAGGAAGGGAGCGGAGACTAGTATGATGAAAACCCGTTCAAAGTGACATAGCCGCCGCAAACTCTGGGAGGACGAAGGGAAGACAAAATGAAAAAAAATCAGCCCCTGGTTTGTTTTGGCATAAAACGACCTGATAACTTGTGCGTTGAATGGCTCTGCAGGTGAGGCTTAATTTGCTATGCTCGGTATGGAAGGAACAAGAAGGGCGTCACACACGTACTTGGGTATTCTGACGGAATGTATCCATCGTTGCGGTCACATACACGCTGTGAAATCGCAGTGCGAGTGTACACTAAGCAAGCTAAAGTGTGCTCTACTGCATCCGGGCATTTCCATGTCCGATTTCGGAGAGAAGGTCGCCGTCGGAGAATAGATTAGAGATGGGGAAACAGACCGGAGCCGATACAGCAGATGGCCGCTCCGCTCTGCAAAGGAAAAGGCAAATGAAATAATGTAACACATCCCTCAGACGCAACGGAGGTGGCTCAGCGGTACTGTCGTCGGTAGACAAACATACATCATCTTAACTGGTAAGGATCACAACACGACCTCGAATCGCGTTGGAGTGAGTTCGCAAAAATAGTATCACGCCGAGATGGGAAAGAAAAAAAAGGAGCTAATGTCTCTCATACCTTAAGTTCTCTAAAAAAAAAAAAAAAAAAAAAAAAAAACCTGCACACCATCGTCATCGATAGATCATAGTGTTATCTACAGGAGGAGTGGGAAGAGGAGGTCGGTTATGAGGACGAGGAGGAGGGAACCTAGTCTGTGCTCCACACACACACACACACACACACACACAAA